CACATTCTTTTTCTTGCTTACCCCAATGTGTAATAGTTCTTCAGAGTCCTTTAAAGAAGTAAAGGAAGGAAGGGAGAAGACAGTGGGGAGGGGAGGAAGGAAGGTCTGGCAAGCCTCTCACAGAGAAGCTCTCACCCAGAGACATACTCTCCTCTCACTTGCCTCAAGCTTCACTGCCCAACACTAGTCTCATGACCACAACTAATTTAAGAGGGGACAGGAAGTGCAAATCTACCCCAGGCACAGAAGGCGGCGAGGAACAGGAGAACAGAGGGACGGTAGACAAGATGGCATTCTAGGCAGGGAGTGGCTGGTGCAAATGTGCCCTCTGGAGGAGTCTGCCTTGCTCGGGAAGCTGTGGTCTTCAGGAAGGCCCCAGGGTGCACACAGGGATGGCTGGAGACAGTCGGGCACTTACTGGGAAGACCCTTGCATTCAGAAATAGCGTGTGGGAGATGGGAGCCCCTGGGTCCTGGTGTGGCCATGTGGCTGGATGGAGGAGGGCTTGGGAACTCTGTCTGAGACCAGGAGAGGGCAGGCTGGGAAGGCGTGGGCAGAGGAGCTGGCAGGGGTTCACCCTTGGTGGGAGAAGGAGAGGGCCAGTCGGTGTCAGCATGGCAGCTGGTGGCTGGGCTGTGCCCACAAGCCAAGGCAGTAGCTCCCTGAGGCAGAGGTGGGCCAACAGGGACTCTCTAACGTCACTCTAAGGAGACTGCTTGCCCTCTGCAACCAAAGTTAGATGTCTGTAGGCCGTTGAGTGGCAGTGCTGGCAGCATGTGCATGGGAATGCGGACGTGTGGGAACTTTCCGGCTTCCAAACTGAAGGTAACTGCAGTGCCCTGAGCAGAGGGCATGTTGCAGCATTTCCACGACGAACAGTACACAGCAATGCAAACAACTAGATCATAACCAGGGTGTTGGCAGCTCGCCAAGCGAGAACCCAGAGAGAGAACGTCAAGCAAGACACCAGGCGAGCGGCATTCGTGTCCTGGAGTCGGTGGTGGGAAATCTCCAGAGCAGCAAAGCCACAGCGGGTGATGTGTGGGTGGCCTCAGCCAGGGCTGCTGTCACACAGATGCCACCGCCAATGGCTTAAACAGGATGAGGACCCTTCACCCCTCTGGAGGCCGTGTGGCTCTCATGACTCAGAGCTGGTGGTCTTCTTGCTGTGTCCCCACTTGACAGAAGGGGACAGGATGCACTGAGCTGTGGGGCACTGAGCTGTCACTAGGGTGCCACCCTCATGACCTAATCACCTCCACTGTCCCCCTCCTAAAACCTAGCTCTCGAGGGACAAGATTTAAACATATGACTTTCTTGAGGGGAAGAAGGAGCCTCGTAGGTTGCCTGTGCTTCCAGCCTGCCCTGAGCAGCCACAGGTGCTCCCTGAGGGTCCGGGGGCCCAGTGTTCAACTGTGCAACCGGCCACCTCGCAAGATACCACGGACAAGCTCTCTCACAGCTCTGGAGGCCAGGATGTCCAAGGCGAGGCTCCAGCCGCTCTGTCCCCCAGGGAGGCTCTCTCCCCAGGCGCCCAGTGACCTTCTAGAGGAAGCAGGTGAGACTTCTTGTCTTTTTTTTAACAAAGGCAGCGATCCCACCATGAAGCCCCCTGTGACCTCGTCTGACCCTAATCTCCTCCGAGGCATTGGGTGTGGGTTGTATGTTCTCTATGTCACTTAAAACATCCTGGGGAAACAGGGGCACGAGACTTGGGTCCATCAGGAGGAACAGAAGCAGCTCTGGAGGAGGAGCGAGTGGGGCTGCCCACCGGAGGGGCTACAGGGTCCCCTGGCTCCAGGAAGCTTTTCTCTGCCCCACGGGACCAGCTTCTCTTTGGGAAGGAGAGGAGGATGGGAGTCGGAAGCCAGCCGGAGGGGCTGAGGCAGTGAGAGGATGGGGAGGAGGCGGTGGCCCATGTGGACCTGTCCTTCGGCCCAAGGTTGTGAGCAGGGGAGGCTGGTGCTGGCACTGGGAGGGACCCAGGCTAGGCCTGTTACTGTGGCAGAGACCCGAGCAGGCTCAGCCCTGAGTCCTGAGGGTCTCTGGAGGGCTGCTGCCAAATATTTCCTTACACAGCCGTCCCGCCCTCCCTTCTCAGGGGATCTCTCCCGGCCACGTGTCTCCAGAGCAGCTCCTTTCTCCTCTTCTCCACCCACCATGGCCTCCCCAGGACATGCTCACCTCCTCAGGACATTGCCCATCTCATGCCACGGGAGGCCTGCCCCGTGGGAGCAGGGCGTCCTCTCTGCCTGCCCCTCTAACCTGTGCCAGGCCGTGCGTGCACAGAGCAGGCACTCAGCAGACACACTGTGACTGAGTGAAAGGTAGGGGACTCTGCAGGGGGGGGTGCAGGATCTGGAGCTGAGGTTCCAGCCAGGAGGGACAGAGACATGTGCAGACGCAGAGGAGGAAGCAGTGCATTCTGTGACGGAGTGGGTGCCGGTAGCCAGGAGGCAGAGGGAGGGACTTGGCTCTGACTGCGGGGGAGGGTGCTCCAGAAGAATGGGGAGACAGCTTGGAGAAATCTGAGAGATTCGGAGGGACTTCCTGGGGACTGATGCTGAGCCTTGGGGTCCAGCAAGTCAGGAGATCACCAACTCAGGGGTCCCAGGCATGGCTCCGAGCTGATGGACTGAGGCACGGGTGGGCCATGTCAGTGTTGTTCAAGGCATCCCTGCAGGTGAGGCTCATGCTAGCATGGGTTGGGTGCTTTGGCAGAAGTGACAGATGGGAAAGGTGGGTGTGGAGATCTCTCCAAGACCAGAGAGGAAGGGTAAAGGACATGTAGGAGGCTGGGGCTCGGCATGACCACAGTATAGCACCAATGAAGTCAGGTTCCTGCTAAGCATGAACCAGTCATGCCAACCTTCTGAGGCACCTCCTTGTCATGTCCCTTTTGCAGATGAGGTTGTGCCAGCCCCAGCTCCCTTGTTGTTAGGACTTGAATGTAGCCTGTCTGTCTTCCAGTGTCTGAGGCTGCAGTCATTTTTCTGTCCTGAGCTGGAGAGGTGAGGAGGATGTGGACAGAGAATGGGTACTGGTTCAGGATGTGCAGTGTGGGACATCTGAGTAGACCAGATGTGAGAGGCAGAGCATGTCCCCATTCGGTGTATGAGGCCATGTGGACATCAGTCACCTTCCTGTGGGGCAGAGTGATGTGGAACCAGCACATGTGGAGGGTCCCTGCATTTAATCTGCACCCCTCTGCTCCAGGGAGAGCAGTGGTAGCTTGCTGTGCAGTGAAAAAGCCCAGGCTGGGACAGGCAGGGCATTGGTCCTGGGCGGCTCAGCAAGCAGGTGCTGGCAGAGTCCCCAGGCCTCTGATGTGTCCAAGCCTTTCCATTACACCTGCAGGGTGTTAGATTGGGCACTTTGACCTCTGGGCATTTTGAGGAATGAAAGCCCAGTTTCAGCTGTGAAAGCCCCCTCCTGTTCCCCACCAGGATGCCTCAGGCAGCATCTCCGTTTCCCATAAGCCTGCCCTCCATACCCAGCACCTTGGACCCTCCTGTCTCTACCACATTTTAGTGAGGTTTCTGGAATTCCAAAACCCGCCCGGCTGAGAGAAGCAGAGAGCATTGCATAATTGCACAACTGGGCAAGACCAGTCCCGCTTAACCACCTGGAGCCTGTGCCCCTAAATCTTGGACCCCAGGGCCTCTCAGCCTTGGTGACCACATGGAATCTGTCCCCCCATGGCACACTGCAGCTTTTCTCTCCCCTCTTTCCAAGGAGGTCGTGCGGAACACCCAAGCAGGCCTATGAGGCCACTGTACCCCATGCATCACGCACAGAGTGAGCCTGGAAGAAATGGCAGCTTGAGAAAAGAGGAGGGCCTGGTCCAGTGTACTGGAAGAGGGGGAGGGAAGGAGTTAGAAGGGAGGGGAAAGGTTGGGTGGAGGAAGAGGGGAGGGAAGGAAGGGAGGGAGGAGGAGGTAAGCTCCTCACACCCACTGCAGGGAGATGGGTGAGGGAAGGTGCATTCTCCAGCCTGTTTCTGGAGCGCCCCCAGCGCTGGTGTCCACAGCTGGATCTCACTTGTAGGTATACAGGAGTGAGCAGGAGGAGAGATCAGGGCTCAGCCTGGGGGAGGTAAACTCACCCTGGACAGAATCATCCAGAGTTTCACCTTGCAAGTGCTGGCCTGCCTCCCCTAGCTTCCTCACAATGAGCCAGGGTGCTCTTGGAAGGGCCCCCAGAACTTGCCGGATCCACTCGCTCTTCTGCTAACCAAGGGGCTTGTGGTCCTCCCCACTACCACCCCCTCAGGACTCCCATTCTACAGGTGCCCCCTTCAGCTGCGCCCCACCCCCTCCCAGTCCTTCTATTGCCTTCTGCCCAGCGAAGCTGCCCACCTCCTCCGCTCTTCTAGTCCCCCTATCCGTTGGCCGTCTCTTCCCCAATTGGAGCACCTGGCACCCAAGGGACCCTCCTCCCACAGCTCAGCCGACCAGCACCCCCGCCCCCACCCAGGCTGGCAGTCTCCTCCTTCCATCCCTCCTCCGTGGCGCACCCAGCCACCAAAGGTGCCCACCGCGAGGACTCGAGCACCGCGGCCCCACCTCTGCCTGGGCGCCCGCTGCACCTGCAGGGTGGCTGGGTGCACGGCGGGCGGCGGGCTGCGCGGCCGCAGGGGCGGAGGAGCGGGCGGCGCGAGGGAGGGGCCTGCTACAGCGGCGGCGGCGGCCGCCCCAGCCCGCGCAGCCCGGCTCGGCCCCGGCTCGGTCGGCGCAGCGCAGCGCAGCGCCGCGCGCGTCCCCTCCCCGCCGCCGCCGCCGCAGCCAGGCGCACCGGCACCAGGCCACCGCCGCCGCCGCCGGCGCACGGACGCAGCGCGCACAGGCCGGCCGGGATGCGCGCCCGGGCCCCGGCCCGCCCGAACCCGCGGCCGCCGCCCGCCCGCCGCGCTCTCGCCTGACCGCGGCGCCCGCCCCGGCCACCCCGCCCGGTCCCGGCCGCCCGCGGCCGAGATGCCCGCCCTCCGGGGCCCCAGCGGCCCGCGCCCCTGCTAGGCTGCGGCGGTATGGCCCGCGCGCCCGGCGCGACCTCTGCGGATTGCATCGGTGTGCGGCGGCGGGGCATGCCCAGGGCACCGGGCACGGCCTTCAATGGGCGAGGACACGGACACGCGGAAAATTAACCACAGCTTCCTGCGGGACCACAGCTATGTGACTGAAGGTAACGTACGTGTTGTCTGAGACCCCCTCCGGCCGGCCGCGGCGTGGGGATGCCGTCGCACCGAATGCCCTCCGAAGGTTTGGACCGCGCGCTGTGTGTCGTGTCCCCCGACCCCACCCCACCCCACCCCACCCCACCCCACCTTCACCCCACCTTACCCTGACCCGGGCCTGGAGGGAGGGAACCCGAGGGCACCGGCCCCCCGCTGCCCAGAGCCGGGAGAGGCCAGCGCCCTCCTCGGAGCCGCCGTCTGGGAGGCAGCTTTACCCCCTGGCCAGGTAGCATCCTGATCGGCCGTGGCCATCATTTTTTTTTTTTTTTTTTAAAGGCCATGCCTACGGTTAAGGTGATGCGGAAATCCCGGGGAAATGTAATGGCTTAAAACCCCGTGTTTGCCATTTCAGCCCTATCCAAAGCCCGCAGAATCTTCTAGGCTGCCCACTCCTTGGAGACGGAGAGGGGCCCAGGGGAAAAATCCATTGCCAGACCCTTCGGAGAAGCTCGCCTGCCGCGGGCCTCTCCCTGCCCCCAGAGCCAGGGTCCTTTCCTGGGAGGGAGGGGCAGATGTGGACTCGAGTTATTCCTGGGGAGTTATATTGAGACAGGAGTAGCGGGGCCCAGACCTTCAGGATTCCCACCACCCAAGTGGCACAGGTTACCCCAGACAGGCCCTGCATTTAAACCCCCTAAGTTGGCCCTACAGCCCAACCCCCACACCAGGCTGGTGGAACCCAGAGGGTCAGCGCCCCTCTTACATGGCAGTAACTTCCGGGGTCCCTCTGCTCTGCCTTGCCCAGAGAACGGTGGGACAGCTCCAGTGCGCAGCCAGGGGACAGCGGAGTGAACCCCTGGTGGAGGATAGGGAGACCTGGCCGTGGAGTAGCAGTGGGCTGCGCCCGCGGGGACCCTCGTGCCGGAGACCTTCCCGAGTGTACGGCGGTGCATCTCCCCCGGGGGCTGCTGGGCAGGCTGCAGAAGTGCTTGTGTGTTTTTAGCAAGAGGCTTCTTAATGGGCACCCGGGGGAAGGGCCCTGGGCACTTCGTCCCGCGGGACGGGTGCGCACGGTGCGGTGCGGGAGCCGGGGAACCTGTGTGGGCCCTGCGCGATGACTAGCCTACGGCCGGTGTCTAATGCCTGCTCCGCCGGAAATGAGGCCGACAGGGAGCGGAGCCTTGCGGGGACTAGGCAGCGGAGGACGGCCAGGCGGGCTGGGCGTCCTGACCCCGGGGCCGAAGGCTGGGTATGCAACCTGGGCGGACGGACCGCTGCTGAGGGTGGCGTTCCCCGCTCGGAGAGGAGAAGCGCTGAGTCATGCTTCGCCGCTGGGTGGGTGTGGGGAAAGCAGGCAGGGCTGCCGCGCTGGGGGACAGCGCTGTCAGGCCGGGCTCCGGGAGGCCCCGGGGAGCCGAACGTGGCCCTTTGTCGCTTGCCTGGGTGAGGTGGAGCCAGGATCCGCTGTGTGCTGGGGGTGCGCTTTCCGCTCACAGCCTGAGGAGCGGCAGAGGGTTGAAGGAGGCCTCGGGTTGCTGGCAGGTGCCCGAGTGGCCTGGCTCTAGAGCAAGGGGATCTTGGCAGGTCCTCTGCTGCACGGATCTGGCTCCCTGGAGGAAGCCTCTGTTTTCTCATCTTTATATTGGGGACGATGGGATGGGAGGCAGGACTGTGCTGTAATTAAACATAAACTGCACGGCCCCAGCTCATAGGACATTTTCAGCATTAATTCCTTGGCATCCCCCTGGCTTCTCTCTCTGATGACTCCACCCGTTCTCAGCTGTAGGAGCTGAAGTCATGCTTTTGAGTCCCTTTTCCTTTATTTACATGATTCCTGAGCCCCTGTGTATGCAGTCACTTCCTTAGGACCACCCCCTGCCCCCCATAGACTCCCTTGTGCAGGCTGTATTCTAGCAGGGAGCCCTGTGACCTTGAGGGGAGTTCTTCCCACCTCATGTCAGTTTCCCCACCTGTAAAATGAGAGTGCAGAAGACCACCCTGCCTATGAGGCCCAGGTGAGATGGGAGGAAGGAGCACCTTGGAACCCTAAATTGTCAATGGCAAAGTGTGGTCTGCACCTACTTTGTGCTAGGGCCTCCCACAAGGTCTCACATAACCCTCATCTAACTTTTTAGATGAGGACACTGAGGCTTGGCTTGGTTCATGGCTCAGACAGAATGTCAGGATATATAGTGCCCAGGGCTGGGGTGCCAGGGCCTTGCAGGGGCCAGATCAGATTCCTGCCATCCACAAGAAGAAACAGTAACAGTGATTGAGAGAAAATTAGATGAGAATTGTGACCTCCTTAGAGGAAACTGGACTTTCATGTTGTGGAATCCTGACTGCATTTGGTAGAGCGTAGATTTGTCAGCCTTCAGACCTGTGTTGGAATTCTGCTTCTGATGCCTCACCTCCTGTGCTGCCTTGGCCAAGTTGCTTTGCTTTCTCACTTTGTAAAGAGAGAAATAAAATGATCTCTGTCACCGACTAGATTATTGAGGTGACTATGCTAATGTAGAAAGTGCCTACTGTAGTGTTTAGCTTATCAGAATCATTTAATGAATGGCACCAGAATTTCATAACCAGCAGTGGATGCTGAGACTCAGTTTGCAAAAGACCAGGTGTGGGGGGGCTGGGGCTGTGGCTCAGCGGTAGAGCCCTTGCCTAGGTTCGATCCTCAGCATCACATAAAAATAAATAAATAAAATAAAAGTAAATAAAATAAAAAGACCAGGTGTGCACATTCCTGTTCCACCCAGTGTCTCAGTCCATGCTCCTTCAGGACGCCCCGCTGCGCGGGTTACTTCCTGCTCCTTCACATGCCAATTTCTTTTGACCTCACAGTATTTGCTCTGGCAATTCCTCTATCTGGAGGCCTACCTCCTGCGTTTCTCCTGACTATCTCCCACTCATCCTTTGAGACCCAAATTCAATGTCATCTTTGCCAGTGGAGCCTTGCCTGGGTTCCTAAGCCTTGGGAAATCCTAAATACCTTGAGAAGAGTTTATGTCTTGTTAGTCATTCACACCTCAGTGTGAATTGGACCGAGTGGGGTTTTTTGTTTCTGTGCTTACTCTTGGCTGGGCTCAGCTGTTGAGGGTTGTTGTGATCATTAGGTGTGAGTGTAGGACAGGGAGAACTGGGGGGCATGAGGGCCAGCAGTGAAGTGGAAGCACTGAGGACATTGGAGAGACCTGAGCCCTAGGGAAAGGGGACCCAGGGATAGAAGGATGCTGGAACGTCTCTTTCAGATGTTTCTCAAAAGCTGAATTTTTCCAGAAAGGGCCCTTCCTGGCTGTGCTCTCTCTTGCTGCAGAACCCAATACTCAGCCTTCGACTGAGTTCCCTGGGTGTTTCTAGGCTAGACTGAAAGGGTTTGGATGTGCCAAGCCCTCCCACCCTGCCTTCTCTGGGCACCAGGTGCCAGGCAAGTCCTCCTCGGGGCCTGGCTCTGGTCAGGCAGCATGGTTCCCACACAAGAGCTCAGCTAGGGCATCACAGGTGGATCCTGGCGGGTCTGGGTCACTTTGAGGAGGAGCACTGACTCCCATGTGCCCAGCAGGTAAGGCATGTCAGGAGCATGGTGTTTGGCTGGGATCACGGTCAGTGTCCCCTCCTTGGAGCATCTCAGCCATCGACCCCTTGCAGACACCTGCTGCTCACACCTGAGGAAGGGCCGTGCCTCTGTCTTCTTAACCTCATTCAGGGGTGTCTGTTTCATGGTTATCCTGGGTTAGCAGGGAGGAAATGAAGGGGCCCCAGTGAGCAAGGGCCGCCGGCCTGCCCTAACCCAGCGTGTGGGCAGTTCCACTGTGGGCACTTGTCCTGGGCTGTTCCCTAGAAGCCATGGTTTCCCGTCCACCCTCAGCCACACTGGAAAGGGTGCTACTTGTGAGAGATGAGGTCAGTGGAGTTTCACCTTTGTGGTCATGTCACATCCGACTCCCCAGCATGCTGTCTCTGCCTCTGGGCAGCACACGTGCTGTTCCTGGCAAGAGGCCGCGGCCATGTCTGGGTCTGACGGGTCTAAGGGTGGGCAGTCTCATCCTCTGGCAGTGACTGTTCCAGAGGGGATGTGGGGTAGTTCTGGAGGCCGAGTGGGAAGGAAAGGGGGCTGCGGAAGCCAGTCCCTCTGTGGGGTGAGCACATCAAATCCCTGTGGTTGCTGGCAGCTCTGTTGGCACTTGGTGGGGAGCAGTCTTAAGATGGCATTGTCGATGGCCAAGTGGAGAGTGACAGAGAACCCAGGACCATGGTGACATCCAGGCCTGATGTCCACCTCACCTCTGGGCATCCAGTTGCATGAGCTGTACATTTCCTGTTCTGCACTTTGAGTCAAGTCTCCATTCTTTGCAGCCAATAGCACCCGACTCACGTAACCCTGACTTGGTATCAGGAAAGCCAGGAGGCTTAGCTCACAGGCAGGACTCTACATAAAGCCAGGGTTCTGTTCACTTCTTGTTTAGGAGTCCTTTTGTCCCTTGCTGCACTCAAGTCAAGGTTGCCAAGTTCGGTTTTCCCCTTCCGGGTCCTGTTGAGGTGACCTGATGTGTGACCACAAGACCTGATTTTGGCGATCTGGGTCTGGTGGAGTCTGGCTCTGAGCTGTGGTCTCTGGCTAGCCACAGTCCCTCCAAGCCTCAGTTTCTTCTTTGTTGTTGCCTATCTTTGCAAATGAGGGACCCGCCACTGTTTGGAGTTTTCACATCTCTCTGATCTCCCTGGCCCATAGCCCCCTGCGTTAAATGGCTGGGTATACCAAGCATGCCCAGCCCAGGGCTCATAGCACAGGCTGCCCTCATAAGCGCTATACATAAATGACAGTGTCCAGGCTAGTCCTCAGAACTGTCATCAAGTGGGCTGGCCCAAATCCTACCCCAACCTGTGGGAAACAGGCTAGGCAGGGAGGGAATTAGTTGGTGCTGGACCTACAGCCTAGGGGGCCATCAGGGAGAGCCAGGCTTTGACGTTTCAAAATCCACATATGGACTGGCTGATTCCGCCCTCC